TCAAAACAGTAAGTTTAAAATTTATAGGTATCAATAAGGATGAAAATAAGTGTGAGGAAAATTAGGATTCTTTTAGAGAGAGCAGAGTTTTGACAATAATAGTTCCTAGATTTTTGTTTTCTTCTGTTTCATACCAGTTGGTTCTTCTGATATGAGACAGAAACTTTGAATTTTTCTTTTAACAACATGTTTGGATTTAGAGAAGGAGAGGCACAGTTCAACTCCAAAGTCAGCTTTGATTTTTAAGCATTGAGACTACCACTATACTGGGAAGTAAGGAAATATAGACTTTTAGATAGTAAGTTTTTTTCCCCTGTATATATATTAGTACAGTAAGTTTAGCTTTTAATGTTATTTCTTTATTCTGTATGTTTGGTGTTTTGATTATTATGTGGTGAGGGGCACTTTTTTGGTGCAGTCTATATTCTGTTCTGTAAGCTTTTTTTGTACTTTCATAGACATGTCCTTCTTTAGGTTGGGGAAGTTTTCTACTTTGGTTTTGTTGAATATGTTTTCTGAGCCTTTGAGCCAGATTTCTTCACCTTCTTTTATGCCTATCATTCTTAGGTTTGATCTTTTCATGGTGTCCCAGGTTTCCTGAATATTTTGTATTAAGAATTTGTTAGACTTCACATTTTCTTTGGTCATTGAATCTATTTTCTCTAGTGTATCTTCAACACCTGAGATTCTCTCTTCCATCTCTTGTATTCTGTTAGTAATGCTTTCATCTGTAGTTCCTGATCATTTACCCAGATTTCTCTCTCTTTTTTCCTTTATTTTTATTTTACATATCGAGCCCAGTTCCCTCTTCCTCCCTCCCTCCCTCTTTCCCTTACTCCCACACTCTCATGCCCCCAACCACCCTCCCCTCCTACCCCCCCACTCCACATGTATGCTGATGCCTTCCAGGCAGGGTCATCTAAATCTGTCAAGTCATTTGGAGTAGGGACTAGGACTTCTCTCCTGTCTCTAGGCTAAGAGAGTTTCCCTCCATGGGGAATGTACTCCCAAAGTCCTTTTGTGCACCAGGGATACATCCTGGTTCCACTGTCTGAGGTCCCTTAGACTTCCCAGGCCTTCTAGCTGAGACCCATGTTCAGGGGGTCTGAGTCATCCAATGCTGGATTTTTCATTTCCAGAATTCCCTCAGTTTGTGTTTTCTTCATTGCCTCTATTTCAGTTTTTAAGACTTGAACTGTTTGGATTGTTTCCTTCACCTGTTTGGCTTTTGAATTTCTTGTTGATTTTCTTCATTTTTTTTTTGTTTGTTTGTTTGTCTTTTCCTCCATTTCTTCCATTTTCTTGTCTTTTCTTCCATTTATTTAAGGGAGTTTCTCATTTCCTGTTATGGGTCTCTGTTGTCTACATAAAGTCATTTCAAGGTCATTGTCTCCTGCTTCATATGCATTGGGATGTTCAGGTCTTCTAGTGTAGAACCCATAGTCTCTGGTGGTGTCATATGACTCTTTGCGTTGTTGAATGTGCTCTTATACTGTGGTCTACCCATTTCTTCTCCCAGGGGGTGTAGATGTGGCCTGTGATTCATGGGTTCTCTTTTCCTCCAACTGATGTAGGTGGGGCCTACGTGTTAGGTGGTCATTCTTCCTCTCTAAGTGGGAGTAGGGACAAGGCACCAATGGCGGCAGATGGTTTGGGCTGTTAGGAGGGTGCCTCCAGGTCTCTGGGGCTTGTCTTCTGGTGAGGTTGGGGTCAAGGCTCCAATGGCAGCAGATGTAATGTTGAATGGTTTGGGACTGTCCCTGGGTTTCTGGGGTTTCAGTGGGTGGGATGGGAGTTCAACATGCCCTGGTTAAGGGCCTTCATGGGGGAGAGGCGCTATGGAAGTTCCTACTTTTAGAAGGCCACAGCAGCTCTAAAAGGCACATCAACCTCCATTAAATGCCACCCAAATGGAGTCTCAGTAGTGGATTACTGGTCAGAGACCCTCAGAAGGTGACAGGCTGAGGCTGTCTGAGAGCAATAGGAAGTCTCATTCTACTCATTGTCACACAAGACCCAAAGGGTGTGGACCCTGGAACCCAGGGAGGGTAAAACAATGTGACCCAGTCGACCTGAGTGTTACTTGTTGGATATTTTTAACACACCATGGTCAGAGAGATGGCTCAGTTCCTTTTCATTCCATGACACAGACACAGCACTATGAATGCCTAGGTTGGCCATGTCATTCTGTGCTTGCACATGCATATCTCTCCAGGTTCATCCTGGAGCCATGTTAATGATACTGGGTTCTCAACCTCCACTGTCCTGTACTTGTGGCTGTAGTTGTAAGTAGAGGAGATTGTCCCATGTGGAGCCACTGGAAACTACCAGGGTCTCTTTTCATTAGTTTTGGCCTCTTGTCTTCTTGCCAACCAGAGTCTGAAGAAAATAAATGAGAAGGTGAATCACGGGCAGATGCAGGTGGATCCGGGGGCTCAACAATGATGGAGCCTCATGTGCTCTAAGGGAGAAACACAGATGTTTTCATGTATGATCCCAGCTACAGAGCTCGATGGTAGACAGACATAGGACAGTCATGCAGCCCAAAGTTCTGTATCCCTCTACAGTCATTGACTTCCACTGCTGAGCCTGGGCCAATGCCCTGGAGGGCTTCCTGTCTAAACCTGTTCTACAGATAGATGAGAGCTCCCATGTTGCTTACCTGAGAAGCACCCATAGCTTGCCCTCAGGACTTGATGTGTGACCAAAAATCTTGCCCATGAGACTATGAACAGGCTTGGCCTTCATCTCGGTAGCCTGTTTGAACTACAAAGTGAACCATTTTGCTCAGATGTTTCCTGGTGACTGACATGAGGTATTGGTTTCATAAAGATGAAGCATGGATCTAAGAATGATCTAGGAATGTGAGGGGTCAGTTCCGCTTTGAAACAGAACTATCTCTTTTGTTCTTGGGTTTTAACACCCATTCTCCCATAAATTTTAACCATGTAGACAGGTTTCTTGAAGTTTAGGTGGATACTGATTTTTCTGGCTTATAGAAACTAGTTAAAACACCATGCTGAAACTAATCTGATGGGCCAGATGTGTTTGACATGTGTGTAGACTAGTTTGTGCCACATGATACAAGTTAGAAACACCTGTGTAAGGAGTAAGGTTTTTCTGCCCGCTGGTCTTGTTGTGCTGCCACGCCAGCCCTAATTAACACACTGAGACTCTGTATTTGAGATAATGTTGTTGGCTAGTTACTTGTTCTTTATCGGCTAGCTCTGTCTTAAGTATTAACCCATTTCTATTAATCTCCACATGGTCTTATCTTACCGGAGAGAGAGCCCGCCAGCGTCCTGCTCTCTCCATCTTCCATCTTGACTCCTCCTCTCTGCTTCCTCTTTCCTCCTTGTCTCCTAGTCCCTCCTATCTTCCTTTCCTATTGGCCAACAGTGCTTTATTCATTAACCAGTATGAGAAACATATTTACAGAATGACATCTCCCATCACACCTGGACAAATTCAAAGAACTGCCTCCATCAGCTTGGTCTGTGGGTACATCTATAGAGAACTAACTTGGTTATTGATTTATGTATGAGTTTCCAGCCCACTGTGGGTGGTGCCATTCCTAGGTTGGCAATCCTAGGCTGAACAAGTAAGAGGTAACTCAGAAAACCATGGAGAGCAAGCCATGATCTCCACCTCTGTTCCTATGGTTTAGATTAATGATACAGATTAATAATAACAATAGAGAAAAATCAATGAATCAAAACTTTATTCTTCAAAGTAATTAAGAGCCTTTAACTAGATTAACTTTGTTTTCTGAAAAAAATAATATTAATACTAGAAGTGAAATATGAGACCTTTCTATCCATTTCTTGAGTGCTCAAAAGTTACTTACTAACAGTAGAGTGACTTGGATGAAACAGACAAATTCCTAAAAGCTGAGAACCTACTGGTTTGGAAGCATGAAGAGACACAAAACTGATTTCATGAATAACCCATACCTGAATTTTAAAAACTGAAGAAAGCAGACAAACTAGGTGTAGATAATAAAGCACAGGAGGGCAACATATGGAAACCTACAACCAACCCTTTATTAAGTGGGGACACTGACAGCTAAGACCAGGATCAATACAAGGGTGCTGCTGTGGCCACTTATGTTCAATATTCCCTTAAGAGTCCTAGGCAGAACAATTAAGAAAGACAAAGAATTGTAAGGTGGCATGAACTGATCTGCAGAAAATTCTAATATTCTACAGAAGTTTCTGGAAGGGGTGAGCAATCATGCCCACCAGAGATATACTTCTATAAACTAAAATTCACCACAAACAATTGGATGTCCTATTTTGTCACATGCATAGAGACAGAAGTAGGATGAGGGTTACACAGGCTAGAGGGAGTATGATAGGCTTAGAAATGCTTCGGACACGGACAATAGTGGTGGTCCCATGACACCATGAATGTGCTGTATGATTCAAAATGGCTAAAGTTAAAATTTTTAAAGTATATTGAAAGGAGAAAGAATTATGTGGAAGGTTTCTCAGAATACCACTCTCGGGATAGAAACACTCTGATTGAACCTTACACAATGGATTTGACTTCTGAGCATCAAAGCAACTAGGGATCGAAACTATTTAGAAACCAGTTGTGTCTACAGAGAAACATTGGCAGTCCCTTCTGTAACTCTTCCTTGCTTTACATGGATGACCATTTTCTAGAGTTCACCGGTGTTAGATCAAACTATTGGAGCATATGAGAGGGTGTTTTGCTCTATGCAAACTGTACCATCCAACAGGGGATTCAGAGCATGCAGAACTTTGGAGGTTTCCTCAAATTAGTTCCCACAGATTCTGTTGGCTATAAGTTTGACCCACAACATATTAACACTTTGCAATTGCACTTACTCTATTGGTATCTTTATTTACTTTGGAGACTAAATCTCACTTTAAATCCTGCCCTGTCCTTGTACACACATTTATACAAGAATTACAGGCTTGAGTCATCATGCTGGCTGTACCTGAGTGGTAACTGACAACTTTTACCATGTAACTTTTCTCGATTTTATATACCATCAGTAAAGAAATGCCCTCACTCTGCTGTAGGACGAGAGGAGAGAGGTCACTCATTCAACACAGTCAGGTTGACTGGGAGACTGGTCTTTGAACTGATGGGGTTGGAGACCTCACACTGATACTCTCCAGCATCCTCCCTCCTGACAGGATCTATTCTGAGTCGGCACTTTGTTGGGGACAGCTTCATCCTCTCTGTGAGCTGCAGACTCTGGTTATTGAAGATCCAACGGATGGAGTTTCCATTGTCAGCTGAAAGGCAAGTGAAGACCACAGCGCTCTGTACTGTGACTGTGGTGTCGGTGACTTTCGTGGAGGGCTCTGTCACAGGCTCTGCAAAGAAGCAAAGGTGGAAACAAAATGATAGTGGTTCTTCAGAGAGCTGAGCCATCCCCTCTACAGTTCACACTCATCCAAGGCAGATGAGTTAGGGCTGTGGCTATAGTCATATCTTGTGCTCCGAATCTGCTACCCAGAGCCTATGTGACCATGATTCAGACACTGAGCTTGCTGTGAGTCAGTTTCCCTATAAGAGGACCAAAGTACATGATCATTGTCATGTCTGTGAGCTAAAGTTAATGTGTAATGGCCTGACCCTGGGATCTGAGCAGACTGCTCATATCAGCAGCATCTGTGACTATTTACCTGCAGAGTAGAATTCCCTAGGTTAGACCCTCAAAGACAAAAATCTGCCTGTCCTCTGTCCCTCTTCTTGGAGACTCTCGCCTTCCTGTGAAATCTCCTAAGCCCATCAGAAGAGTTGGGTTATGTCCTGACACCTGCCTACTCAGATTTAGGTGTAAGAAATGTCCAGATGTCTTACCTAACTGCAGCCATCATGGCAGTGCATAGCTGATCCCACACTCTATGGGACTTGGACAATCCGTAAGTACTTGCCCCCTGTCAGCTCTCAAAGGAAGTCAAATTCTAACCTTGAGAAGATGCTCTCCGGGAGCAATGAAAGATGGGGTGGAACTGAACTCTGAAGCCAGGGCTTTCTAATGCTCCCCTCTCTGTGAGAAGCCCATTGTTCCCTCAGTCAGGCCTTTTCTGACTCCCACAGGGTCTCCCTCAGGGCCACAATCATGGTGTGGCACATGAAGAATATGGGCTGAGGCTGACTGACATCCTTGGGTTGAGTTATCCAGCACAGTCTTTCTCCCTATAATATGTGTCCTGCACTAAATTCTTAAACCCCAGTGTGGGGACACAATGTACAGATGAAGCATGCATATCCCACATGGGATAGTCCTGTGTGTGTGACGTTCTTTCAACCCTACCAGCACCCAAAGGCCACAGAGAACACTTACTGTATATGTGGATAAGCCTGCGACTTTCTTGAGTTTTAAGGTGTATGTTTGAGGTTCGTAAGGTGTAGAATCCAGCGTCCTTCTGGGTGACATTCTGGAGCAGCAGGGATCCATTGGGGTACACAGTCTCTCTACCACTGTATGCAGGCCCCAGCAAACTTCTACTAGTGGCTACTAGGTACCATACAATCTCGTGCCTGTCGATGATGGATACCCCTTTGTACCAGGAAAAGGCTCGAACGTTCTCTGGGATATTGTGAACAAGAAGGAGAACATTTTCTCCTTCAACAATATTAGCTGGGACAGATTCAATGGTGAGCTTGGCGATGGTAGGAGGAAGCCTGCAGGCTACAAAGGAGGACAGAAAGGAAGAAAGACAAATTCATCAATACTGAGACCTTTGTCTTTGTGTGCTGAAAAGTTTAGGTCCGTCTCTCAGTGAGGTGGGTGGGAGTGTCTGTCCAACTCAGAGGAAGTAAGGAAAAGGCCTCCGTGACTCCCATGTACCTGGATGTGCCACTTTCTCTGTGTAGAACTCTCTCCATATGATCACTGTCCTCACACACAGAATATTATGGGATGGGGTGCACCCCTCACATCTTTCTCTAAGACCTCCGATCTTCACCTTCTGAACTCTTTAATACCTTCCCTCTCTGGATGCAGTAAACCCCTAACATCCCTTAGAGTTGGCTTTCTAGTCTGTCTTCCAGTCCACCAAAGCTGGGGTATTGTTTTAAAAAACTGGTTTGGTCTTTCTGGAAGGCCTGATGCCTGGTCAGGCTCAAATAAATATGGGTGGATGGAAGAACGAATGTCCCAGGGCCTTGAATATCCAAGTGTATATGACATTTTCCTCTTTGGCGCTACTGACACCAGTTACAACTCCAGCTTACATTAACTTATGCATGTGTGGAGTAAGTGTGTTGGAGGTGTGAGCAGGTACAAGTGTGGGTGTTTGTGGCGGAGCAGGTGTATGACAACCTGTGGGCAGACATTGAATACAGGTCACAGCACCTAGATGAAGGTCAAAGGACAATTTCAAGACGCCTTTCCTATCCTCCCACCTCAGAAAATTCTAGGCAGTCTCTGAGACCCCCTCCTCCCGCACACTATCAGGCAGTGTTCTCCTTACTTGTGAGCCACTACCAAGAGCTGTACTCTTTACAGGCAAAAACACAATGGGCCTCCACGGTAGCTGCAGCCTGCTCTGCTCTCCCTCTGTGGAGAATAGCTTTTGTTCCGGCATGTACCGCCAAGCTTTACAGCCTTCCTCACTCTGAGCTCAGCCTCCAGACAGGCAGGAGCTCTTCCCAAGGTAAGGGCTGACTGTTGTCAGGGTTAGTGTCCAAGGTCCTGCTCTGTCTCTTGCACTCTTAGAACTGCCTGGTGCCCCAATTGCCTTCTCTGGGTGTGAGTTCCAGTCTTCCAGACCACACAGTGAGCAACCAGACTTACAATCATCTCTGTGCCCTAGGACAACAGCCCACCCCAGGGCTGGCCTCTTCTCTGTTCTCCCAATGTGCCCTTCATGACACAAAATCCCAGCTGAGTACCTAGTCTGCCCTGTGTTCTCAATGCTCTGAGAAGGTGAGATGTACTTGCTGAAGGAAGATGATGGAGATGCCTATGAGGAATGGAGGGAGACCAGCGGGGTGATACCAGGAACAGGGAACAGAACCACTCTCACTGGACCCACCAGTCAAGGACCACCTGTGTGAGGACTGTCATACGGGGTGGAGTAGGAGGTGACCTGGGTCCTAAGAAGAGGAATGTGGCACCATCATCCCAGGGTGGTAACACAGGATCTTCTGGTTGAGTAGTGTGCATAGAAACACAGGAAGCAACCAGTAGGTCTAGGAAGGCTGTTAGTGACCTCCAGGTGTGTAGGGAAAGGGGTGGAAGCCAGGATACAAATTACGCTCTTGGCTCCTTGAAATGCTTTTCTGGGTGTTGATTCTGTGTCCTTCTGTAGCCACTTAAAGATTGCTGTGGGAACTGTTCTTCATGTCTGGGAACCAGCTAGGTAAGTGTCTGTTACTACTTGCCTGCAGGAGAAAATTCCAGAGCTGGGCCCCAGAGGAAAATCACTTGCAAGGAGCATTTGTGATCTCTATCCCTCAATGTGGGGAACCTGACCTTCCAGTGAGGTCTCATGTGCCCATCAGGATAATTAGTTAATGACCTGGGCACCTGACCAGCTATATTCTCCCTGCTGAGTCTCTGAAGTTGTCCAGGTGAGATCCTAACCATGGCTCTCAAGGAGCCATGGCTGGTTTTAAAAGCCAATAAAACCTTGTACCCTGTCAGCTCTAACAGGTAGCAAAATCAAGTAAGGACAAAAACGTTTCCAGTGTCATCTGGAGTCTAACCAGGGACAGAGATTTCTAGGCAGGGCTTCCTTGTACTCTCTATGAGGATCCCATGGCTTCCTCAGCTAGGGCCTGCCTGACTCCTGCGGTGTCTTTCTTTAGGACATGTGCGTGGTGAGCGCTCCAAGTGTCTGTACTGAGGCTGACATCCTGAGCCTAAGGTTACCCAGAACATGTCCTCCACTCTGCATGTAAAGACGGGTGAGAGGTTCTTATCTATTGCTGTTGGTCCACTCCATGTGTGTCCTGCGGTGATGGCCCAAACCCCAGGGTGAGGACACAGGGAGAGAGCAGGGTTAGCCCAGTCCTGCAATTCACTGTAAAAACTAGGGTAAGCCACGCCCAGCAGCTGGAGACCATGGAGCCCATCACTTACTGTTCACTTGGAGTTGCACCTGTGTTGCTTCAACTTTCAGACCTCTGGTTAAAGTTTCTAATGTGTACAGTCCTGCATCATCCTCAGTGACATCCTTAATCAGCAGGGATCCATTGGTGTACACCATTGCTCTCTTGTTGTGGGCAGGCCCCTGGATGACAGAATCCGTGGCTCCGCTGTATTCTACCATTTTAAAGAACCGAACGGCATATGCTCCTTTGTACCAGGAAAAGGTTCTCACATCTTCTGCCAGATTGTGAACAAGGAACAGAACACTTTCCCCTTCGGCAGCATTCCGTGGCACTGGTTCAATCATGAGAGTGTTACGGGATGTAGAAAGGGAGGCTGGAGGTTAAAAAGCAGAAAAGGCCGTTCTATGGGATCAGTTTTACTTGGTGGAAAGGTGAAAGCCTCCATCCTGAGCTGACAGATCCTTCACCCCGCCTAAAGATGCAGGTGTGGGCTCATCTATCCTACTTTGTGGAGGTCAGCAACATGGCCTTCATTCCCTCAGGGCCCCTGTATATGGAACTCTCTAAGTGGAATTCCCTCCTCTGCTGTCCTCCTCGAATGCACGGGATAAGCCTATGAGCCTGAGCTGACTCTACCATCGTAGTCTGAGTTAATTTCCATCAAGTTCTTCCTTGATACAGGGTGAGTCAGATAATGGAGTCTGATCAATGGCTGTTTGTCTCCACCACGTGAGCCCTGCACTAAGTTCTCAAACCCCAACATGGAAACAGAGTGTACAGAGGAGGGAGGCATGAGAGTCGTGTGTGTTTAAGCCCCACCTCGCATGGAAAATCATACAGGATCACTTACTGTCCACCAGGAGTTGCACATACATTAATCCTATTTTCAGATCTACATTCAGAGTCCGTAGAGTGTAGAATCCAGCATCTTTCCAGGTGACATTCTGGAGCAGCAGGGATCCATTGCTGTAGAACATCTCTCTACCACTGTGTGCAGGACCTGGTAGACTTAAATTCCTGGGTATTATGTGTCGGGCAATCTCAAATTTGTTAGACACAATCACCCCTTTGTACCAGAAAAGGACTCGAAGATCCTCTGGGAGATTATGAGCCACTAGAAGGACACTTGCCCCTTCTGTTATGCTGGGAGGCACTGATTCAATTCTGGGCTTGGAAGAGGTGGAAGGACACCCATAGGTCAAAGGGGAGGCTAGAAGGGAAGATAGAGATCAATCAATATGCAGGCATTTGTATTTGTCTTAGATGGGGCTCTGTGTCCTAAGCAGGCGTGTCTATTGTTCAGCCTAAGAACGTGAGTGTGTCTGTGTTCTATTGAGTGGAGGTCAGCACATGATCTCTGTGTCTTCAGTATCCCCACGCTTGTAATTTACTATGCATGGCACTCTCTACTCGGGTATCAAATTGCCCCCAGCTAACTGCCCTTGGTCTCCTGCCCACATTCAGTATAGCCTAATGTTGGAGTGATGCCTCCCTGACTTCTCCCTACACACCCAGCCTCTTTCTCTTGCAGTTTTGTTCTTGTGGTCCCAATAAACACCTAACTTCACCCTTAAGCTTTCTTTACTGGCCTGTCTTCATTTGGAAAAGGGTTTTGTGAAGACCAGGGGTAATCTCAATTTTTGCAAGGCGCAAAGCTAGGAAATGTTCTGACACCCATGCAAGATGGATGGATGGATGGATGCATGCATGCATGGATATGAAAATGAGCAACCGATGTTTCAAGGCCAATTATATCCAGGGTTTTATTTATGAAACTCTTAGTTTCATGACTAATGGATACCCCAGTTAGATTTAACATTTTACACTAATTTCTATTCCGTGTGTTTATAAATGCATGCAGGTGTGAATACCTGTGTATTCCTACATACATGTGCATATTGCTGGTTACATGCCACAATACCTACATGTGGAGAACAGGCCTTTCTCTGAACCATACTCACAGTGAGAACCCCAAAACACATGATTGAGTATAACGATCCTTGCACTGTGTTACCATTTCTCATCACAAACCCCAACAAGGGGACACAGCATGAAGGTGAGGTATGCACAATCATGCATGACAGTCCTCTGTGACTCTGCCCCCACAAAGCACTGAATGATCACATAGAATCACTTACCATCCACCTCGACTTGCACATGCAATGTTTCAGCTTTCAGCTCTGCACTGATAGTCCGTAGAGTGTACAGTCCAGTGTCTTTCCAGGTGGCATTCTGTAGTAGCAGGGATCCATTGTTGTACACCATCTCTCTACCACTGTGTGAAGGGCCCAGCACAGTAGAATTTGTGGCTATGATGTGTTGGGCAATCTCAAGTTTCTTGGACACAGTCATACCTCTGTACCAGAAGAAGGCTAGAAGATTCTGTGGGAGGTTGTGGACGAGTAGAAGAACACTTGAGCCTTCTGTAATTCTGTGTGGTACTGGTTCAATCACGGGCTTGGCAGAGGTGGGAGAGTTCCCACAGTTCAGAAGGGAGGCTAGAAAAAAGAGGGCGATGCCCATTGTTATTAGGATTTTTGTATTTGACTAAGATGTGGCCTTATGTTCTGAGCAGGTGTGTCCATTGCTCAGACTAGGTGTATCGGGGAGTGTCTCCCTGTTCTACTGGTTGGAAGTGAGTACATCAGATACATGTCCTCCGTGCCCCTGCACTTGCCATTTCCTCTGTATGGCACTATCTGTCCAGGTGTCATCATGGCCCTGGACCACTGCCCTCAGACCACTGCTAATATTCAGTGTAGATAGGTGTTTGGAAGATGCCTTCCTGGCCTCTCCTCTATGGACCTTGATACCTCACTCTCTGACTTTCTACTGCTTATGTTCTTTTCTCGTGTGGTTCCTGTCAACACCTGACTTCATCTTTTAGCTTTCTTTACTTTCAGTCCACTAGGACTAGGGAAATGGAGAACCTGGATTCATCTTATATATTTTAAAGGAACCATACCTAGGAAAACTCAGACACCTGTGGAGAAAGAATGAATTAATTAATGATGTCACATGACCCTGTATGCCTATGGATTTACTTATGAAATTAGTAAGTTTGAGGATACAGAGTTGAATTTTTCCATTGCTTTGATTTCTATACCCATTTATATTTGTGTGTGAGTTTGTGTGTAAGAACATGTCTCAGGGTATGGGGATGGGTGCAGGACACAAATCCTTGGAAGAGGACAGAGGACTTGTATTCAATAGTCTTTGCTTTGCAGGCAATAAAGCAAATGCTTACATCTACTCAGCCACATCATCAACACCAGCTTGAGTTTTCAATCTGGGATGCCAAGGTGAGAACATCAGTCTTCAGAATATTGTGGACATGCTGATGAAGTTTGGATAAGAACTATCCCCCTCCCCCATCACTTTATCAGACTCATAAAGAATAAGTTCCCTGCTGCTAAACCTCTGGCCTCCCCTGTGTCTTCTCCCCTACAAACCCAGAGTCTCCTCTAAGGTCCTCGTCCCCCTTGGGAGACTCCAAACAGTAGATCCATCCTCTTATTTCTCGTGGCATCCTCATCTGTGAGCAGACATCCCTGAGAGCCAGCGCCCCATAGCAGCAGGATACAAGGGTGCATCCCTAGTCTCCGTGGCCTGGTACATACCCTCCTGTAGCACATCTGAAATCAAACTCTACTACCCTTTCCCTGTCCGAGCTGAGACTCCTTCCAGGCAGAGGATTCTTTGTTCCAAACACCACTCTACCCCCTTACTCTCAATGTGCCCCATATCCCTCTAAACTTCTCGCTTTATGTTCCCTTCCTCCAGAACAAACAGTGATCAAATGGCTGATGAGCATCTCTGTATCCTGAGAGAACAGAAAGTCTCCCTGGGGCTGATCTCTGCTGTGTCCCGGCCCTGAGTCAATCAGCACCAAATTGGGAGTGTCTGTACTCCCTGTGGGACACAGAAACCTGTTTGAGCACCCAGTCTGTCTGTCCTATGTTCTCAATGCTCTGAAAAGATGGAGTACGCTCTTAACTGGGACATGACAGACATGTCTGTGAGGCTTCAAAGGCTCCAGATGAAGGATGCATGGGGTAGGGGACAGATCCATTCTCACTGCAGTCATCACTCAGTCTTTCTCAGGGACTCATTTCTGTGAAAACCCCAGGAATCTACACAGAGGCTGATATCCTTAGCTGAGTTCCCTACAATGCATCCACCTATGTGCAAGGTAGGGTCAAATGAAGGATTCTCATCTACTGCAGTTATCCTCTGCCATGTGTGTCCTGAACTGAATCCTCAAACCCCAACAATAGAGACACAAGCAGAGGGGAGGCAGACACGGGGTAGATTTGACATTTCTGTGTGTGTCCAATGGAATGAACCCCACCCAGCACCCAGAGTTCACACAGAATCACTTACTGTAAACATGAAGATATATGGTTGTTATTGATACAACTCCGACATGTCCATTTATGGTTCGGAAAGTGTAGAATCCTGTGTCCTTCTGGGTGACATTGTGGATCTGCAGAGATCCATTGCTGTACAATCTCTCTCGACCACTGTGTAACGGTCCCATCACAGTTCTATCCTTGGCCAGTGAATATAGTGCAATTTTAAGGTTCATATTCCTCACCCCTTTGTGCCAGACAAAGGCTTGAAGATTCTCTGGTAGATTATGAATGCGTAGAAGGACATTTTCTCCTTCAACCACTTGGGGAGGCACTAATTCAATGGTGACTTGGGCAGTGGTGGTCAGGTCCCAGCAGGTTAAAAGGAAGGCTATAAGGGGAGAGATACAAGTCACCAATATTGAGCAAGTGTGGCACTACTCAACTTTGGTGTGTGGGTAGGGATGTGTCCACTCTCCTTGATAGAGGTGAGAAACATGACCCCCAATCCCTCACTGCCTATTGTTTCCTCTATGGAATTCTGGACTCAGTTTCTGCTGACTCCCCCACTCGGTGGCCCCATATCCCTCCTCACATGGTGTATTTAGTGTGAGGAGCAACGCCTCTCTGACTTCCTCTTCTAGGAGATTATTGCTCAGAATATTTTTCTCTATTCCCTGTGTGCTTCCAGTCAACACCCGATTTCATCCTCTGGATAGTCTGGTGTTGGGTCCACTGGAAGCAGGGATTTTCAAGGACAGGAACTAGTGTTACCAATTTGGAAAGTTCAGTACCTGGAAATTATTCATGAGCCAGCGGATAGAGGAAGGAAGGAAGGAAGGAAGGAAGGAAGGAAGGAAGGAAGGAAGGAAGGAAGGAGAAATGTGTCTCCGTATGTTTATCTATATAGTTCTCAGGTGTGGAGCAAATAACAATTATTATACTCAAGTGTGATTTTTAAAAGTTTTACATTTGCTTACAAACTATATGTGTCTGTCGGTGAAGACACTTGTCTCAGTGTATGCAATGGTGGGGGTATACCACAGCACCTGTTGGACCAAAAATGCCCCAGGGTGTACATGTGTGAGTACACACTACAGAACCTGGGTGGAGGGCATAGAAGAGAGTGTTCTCTCCATCTACCCTATGGGATCAGAGAGTGAATTAAAACTGTCATGTCTGCACATACTGTCCTGTCTCAGTGACCCAACCCTGTTTGATTTCTAATTGCAGAGTCACACTGTCATGGTTGGGAACATTGGGCTTCAGAACATTGCAGCCAATAGAAGTGACTTTGAATGAGTAACATTTGAGGTTTTTCTCTTCCCCTCATTGCCTCCTATCCACTGAGAGCTTCAGGCTGCTGAGCCTCTGACCCTCACTCTACCTTCTGCCCCATGACTGCAAACAAATCCCTGAGTCTCCTCTGGGGCTTCTTTCATCTTTCAAAGACTCCAGCCTGCCTCTGAGTTCCCTCCCCTACACAGTCAGAGAGCGGGTACCCTTACCTGTGAGCAGGAGCCCCTGCCAAGGGGCACAGCCCTTGCAAGGAATCACAGAGTACACCCCCATCTCTCCTCTCAGTGCCCCGTCCTCCCTATGAGGAGAACTTCAGCTCCAACACAGCGTCCAGGCTCTGCTGTCCTTCCTCCTTCTGAGATGAGCAGTCTCCCAGGCTGGAGCACTTCCCAGAATTCAATGGGTCTGTGTCCAAGGCACAGCTCTGTCTCCTCCACTCTCTGTGCTGTCCCACATCTCCTTCAACTTTCCTCTCTTTATGTGTCTCCTCCAAGCAGCACACTGAGTAGCAATGCTGATAAGCATCTCCATGCCCTCAGAGAACAATGGCTCATCCCAGGCCAGACATCTGCTGTGTCCTGACCTTGGATCTGTCATCAGTCAAGAAGGAACCTCTGCTCTGCCTATGTGTCCTTGTGACACAGAGACACAGCTGAGTATCCAGTCTGTTGTATGTTCTCAGTGCCCTGGGGAAGTGGGATTTTACCCCCCCCCCCAGAAAAAGGTGACAGAGATGCCTGTGAAGGCTGGAAAGGGACCAGCTGAGCAATCAATAGGGACGAAGATCAATTCATCATCATTAGTGTCACCAATCTAGCTTCTGATTCAGGAGGGAGGCCCAGGAGCAGTTGTGTGAGAAGTTTCGTGTCCTCAGTGTTGGGAAAGGGGTGACCTGTGTGTCCTGGGAAGGACTATGGGCTCCCTCTTCCTATGGAGGATTTCAAGGTAACTGTCTTAGTTAGGATTTATTTCACTATGAAGAAACAGAGACTCTCAAGCAAGGTGGGGAGGAACAGGTTCATTTGGCTTACACATCCACATTGATGCTCATCGCTGAAGGGAATCAGGGCAGGGACCCAAATGGGACAGGATCCTGGAGGCAGGAGCTGGTGCACGGGCCATGGGGTAGTGCCGCTTACTGGCTTGCTTCCCCTGGCTTGATGGGTCTTCTTCCTTACAGAACCCAGGACCACCAGTCTAGGGATGGCACTACCCACCATAGTGTTGATTCTTGGGATGTTTTGTTGGATGGGTCCTTTGTTCTTCTAACTGGTGCAGGTGGTACTTGTGCCTCTAGGGCTGCTGATTTTGCAAAGGATGGTTGGCCAAGGAGAGAATGATGAGTTCATTTGGTTTGGGCAGTAGAGTGTTCTTGTAATTTACAGGGTATAATAGATGGTGGTAATGGTGATGGAGTGGGCTACCTTCAGGACAATTACCTGTTTTCAGGTGCCTGGGGCTGTGCTGGGAGGAGCGGGAGGTCACGGAATGTACCCTGGGGCTTAGGGTCTTGGGACTGGGCCAGTTCAGCAAGCAGACCAGTCATTCACCTCTTCTTCCAATTGGTTTGTGTGGTGCTTGAGCCTCTAAAGGCTGCTAATTTTTCAGGGAGATTGTGCCACCTCTTTTTTCCCCAGCTTTCTCAGGCCCTTCGTGGAAATTTATTTTCTGCATTAGTAAGGCATGATGTAGTTGGCTTTTTAAAAACTCTTTTTGGTCCCACCACACAGCCTCCAAACAAATACATGGAGACTTCTTACTTTTGAATGCCCAGTTTTAGCTTTGCTTGTTTCTAGCGTGCTTGTCTAACTTAAATTACCCTATTTCTCTTTAACTTTTGTCTCTAGACTTTTTCCCTTTATTTATTCTATATTTCAGCTTTATTCAACATACCAGCTGGGTGGCTAGTCCCTGGCATCCTCCCCTCAGTCTCCTTTTATTCCTCTCTCTTCTCTAGATGTCTCCTCCTATATATTCTATCTGCCCAACAGCACTGCTCATTTCCTCTTTCCTCCCTAGGTATTGGCCATCCAACTCTTAATTAGACCAATCAGGTGTTTTAGGCAGGCAAAGCAACCAGCTTTACAGAGTTAAAGAAATGCAACATAAAAGAATCTAATATATCTTTGAAACATTAAAACAGGTATGTCATGGGATAGACAAATGTAACACATCTTAAAGTGACATTCCAAAACAAAACTAGAAGCAAGAACTTGCTAAAAATTACCTGATGGCCCAAATTGTACAACAAGTATGATGGTCAGTTTGTGTCGCCTGACACAAGCTAGAGACACTTCAGAAAACTCAAAAAAAATTTCCTCCATCAGTTTGTTCTGAAGGTATATCTATAAAGCACTAGCTTAGATATTGGTTGATGTGTGAGCTCACAACACACTGTGGTTGGTGTCATTCCTAGACAGGTCATCCTTGCCTACACAAGGGTATGGTAACTGAACAAATGATAGAGAGCAAGCCAGGAAGCATCATTCCTCTATTGACTGTGCCTCTGTTCCCATGAATTAGAATAATGTTTCAAAAAATAATAATGGTAAAATCTCAATGAATAAAAATATTATTTTTATTAATGGCATTGACAAGTGTTAATTGACTCAGTTTTTGAAATATTGACATTATTAGTCAGATGGTGGTCACACATACATTTAATCCCAACACTTGGGAGGAGAAGGACTACACAGAACTACACAGAGAACCCAGTGTCAAAAAAAATCAAAACACAGATAATTACATTACTAATACTAGAAGTGAAATTTGAGACCTCACTTTCCATTCTTCAGAATATTACAAATTCCATTAGTACTCAATAGTTATGTGCTGTTTAGTGAGATAAATGAAGCAAATTCCTAGAAGCCCAGAACCTACAGAGATGGAAGCATAAAGTGACACAAACCTGATCCTGTGTATGACACATACCTGAATAAATAAAGATGTTTGACAAAAATGAACAGTTTTTTATGATGAAAACAGCCAAAGTAGAGGAGAGGATAAGCCAGTACAGCCAGGGAATCCCACACCTACTAAGTATTCAGTGAGCTCAATGACAGCTTTCCCTCTAAGACCAGGATCAACGCAAGGATGCTACTGTGCCCTTTTGTCCAGTGTTCCCTTAGCAGTCATAGGCACAGCAATTAAGCAAGAAATAGAAATTAAATGTGGCCAATCATCTTTAAAATATATCTGCAGATGGCATGAACTTATTTGTAGAAATTTCTAAAGATTCTGCAGAAAATGCTGAAACTGCTGAGCAAATATTACTTACATAAATTAGTATTTGCCTCAATAAATTGCATTTCTTGTTTTGGCACATACACAGAAACAGAAATAGATGGGGTTGCACAGAGCTGGAGAGAGCAGGATGGGAAAGAGGGATGGTCACATGAGAATATAAATGTGTTTCATGCCACTTGGCGGTATGCTCAAATGGCTAAAGGCAGATTGTGTGTATGTGAATGCATGTGTGTGTGTGTGTGTGTGTGTGTGTGTGTGTGTGTGTGCGTGTGTGTGTGAAACCAGGAAAAAGAACTATGTGTCTCTGGATGAAACAGTAGAATCTTCCTTTACAGGAAGGATTTTGCATCTGTGCAAGGAACTGTAGATCAAAGCTACTTAGGAACCAACAATGTCCACAGAGAAACAAGGGCAGTGCCTTCTCCTGTCACACTTCCTCCCTTGACCTGGATGATTGCTGTCTAGAAAGCATTGATGTTAGATAAGGTTATTGGAGCATATGAAAAGAGATTAATCTCTGTGCAACTTTTAACAGGGGACTAAGAGCACCCAGAAGTTGGGGCAGTAACTGAAATTAATCCCCACAGATTCTGATGGTTGTCTACATATTTGATCCACACCATAAGCTATTAACCCCTTTGCAATGTTGATTACTCTATAGATAGCCTTGTTTTCCTTAGAAGAGAGAGTCTAACTTTAAATCCAGCCTTATCTTTGTTCACATATTTATCCCAGATCTGGACTCCAGAGGAGAACAAATTACAAGAAGGACTTCTGTCTTTTGTTCCTCCCCTTGGAGACCCTGGCCTTTCTGTGAGTTCTCATAATTCTATCATGACAGTTACC